AGCATTTCCTACTAAGATTTGAATGTTTTTCATTAATACATACACATTTTAAGAACATATGCAAATATGCTAATGTTAATAACAAAATAATATATGTCAATAAATGTATTATGTTTTTTTAAATATAAACAGAGCCAAAATTTGTGAAAGCCTGAAAAGCTTGTATGAAAGGTCCACACATAATAAAATTTACATTTTTTAAAGAACGCATAAAGTTTTCAAATAAGACCACTTGCTGTGTTATAAAAGTCACAATAAATTTCAAGCATAAAATGCCAAAAAAAGAGAAAAAACAATAATTTAGGGTATGCTTTCTGAACACATGTAATTACATACATGAAAGCAAACATTGAGAAAAGGAGCCCAAATATTTAGAAGGTAAATGCTCATTTTAAATAATGTATAGGTAAAACAATAAATAAAAATTTGGAATATATTTTGCTTAAATATGAAAGAATACTTAATGTTTGATATACAAAAACTTTAGGAATACATCAAAATCTTTGGTAGTGGAACATTTGCTATAAAATTAAAAATGTTGAAAATCAATTATTTGAGTTTCATTCAGAGAAAGCTAAAAAAAGGAAAAAAACAAACTGCAAATAAAACTAAAGAAATACAATAGAAAAAAGTAATATTGAAATTAATGGAGAAAAATTTGTGAAAATTCAATACTGTTTTGCATAAAAATCTAGCAAACTAGGAATAGAAGAATTAATCTATAACCTGATGAGATACAAAAAAAAGAGAGAAACATTTCTCTGAAATAAGAATGAAAAAGAATGATCTCTTAATATCTATAATTTGTAGTGATGATGTATAAGCATATATATACACACACATGCACACATAAATACAAGGGGTGATCCCCAAAACCAGCATTTATTCATAAAAATTGTGTATTTACTCTTACATGTTTAAACTTCAGTCACCTTCAAAGTATTCTCTCTGATGCTATACAATTATTGAGAATTTTTCCACTGTTCAAACTGTTTTTGAACTCATCGATTATGAAACCTTTTAGTGCTTCTGCCTTTTTTTGTTTTGTTTTGCTTTACCACTTCCATACTGGCAAAATATTCCTTTTTGAGGACTTTTTCATCCAAAGCCAGAAAAAAAAAAAGTCACTCAGGGCGAGGTTGTGTAAATAGGGAGGATGGGACACAGCAGTCAGGCCATTTTTGGCTAAAAACTGCAGAACATTCAGCATGATGTGTACAGGCAGATGAATCACATCATGAAATGGGCAAAGAGATCGAAAGTCTTCAAAAAATTCACTCCGATAAATGAAGCCACAAAATGGAAAGACCACATGTGCCCTGCCTGGTGTGGTTCAGTGGGCTGGGTACTGTCTTGCAAATGCAAAGGTCACTTGTTTGATTCCCAGTTAGGGTTCCTGCCTAGGTTGTGATGTATGTATAATTATATAACAAATATCTAGTTTCATATAACGTAATTTCTAGTAATTTATAAAATACTTATTAGTGGTTAAATCTGAAAATTAATATTTGGGTCCGAGCTCTCTCGCACAAAATAAACATTAAGACTAAGAAAACCTGCATCTAAAAAGGCACAAGTGAAAGGAAACTGATGGATATTTCTCTCCCTCTCTTTCCCCCCTCCCTTCCTCTCTAAAAGTAAATGAAATCTTTATAAAAAAGAAAATACCACATGTTGGGAGAACTGACAGGCTCTCCTGTCTCTGAGTCTTATACCTATCAATTTTATGTGTCTAAAATGTTCTACCTACAATCCTTCACCTGGCTTAATACTCCACAATTATCAGCTTAGAGAGGAAATCCATCATACCAACTGCCTCATCCTAGTTCCTCTGTTGCTATTTACTCTGTCATAGCTCACAGTTCATTCCCTTTTAGCATCGATCACAGTCTAAAATTACTTTGCCCCTCATTTATTTAGTAGTTATATTCTCATTTCAACCTCAAATGAAAGTTTCTTGAAAGAAGGAACTCTGTTTATCTTTGTGCAGGAAAGCTCAGACCCCAATGTTAACTTTCAGATACTAACCACTAATAAATATTTTCAATAAATGAGTAGAAATTATGTTATATAAAACCACATATTTGTCATATGATTCCAACATTGATTTTATTACATGTTAGTTTTGAAGCAATGGAAATTGGCAATTGCCTGGATCTATAATAATATTCTTTAAGACTATACATGCAAATATTATCATTATAGGTTACTTACCTTGAACCTTATTTTAAAGCTAAGAAAATCTGTATCTTAAAAGGTTAAGTAAACTTAGCCATACTAATTCCTAAATAACATTTTTTAATTCTATAATTAAAAGAAATATGTGATTTACTTATTTTTAGAGAGAGGGGAAGGAAGGAAGAAAGAAAGGGAAAGAAAAGAAGGTGTGGTTGCCTCAATGTGGGCCCCACTGGGGACCTGGCCCGCAACCCAGGCATGTGCCCTGACTAGGAATCCAACCAACGACTCTTTGCTTCACAGCTTGTGCTCAATCCACTGAGCTACACCAGCCAGGGCTAAATTCTATAAACTTTTTAAAGTTACTTCATTTAGATTTTTAAAAATTCTTAATGGAATTATATATTATAATGTATCCTCTGTTGAATTAGCCAATAGTGATTAAAGTACAACAAGTCCCTGTATTTGGAGATAATGTCACCTTTCTGGAAAAACAAACAAACAAACTTGTGAATAGATAGAAAATAGAAGATAATTAACAGAAAAATAATGAGTCGTAAGTAAGAATTTATCAAAGAAATGGCATTGAACTCCAGGCCAGTAAACCAATGGTATAGACAGAACATTATGCTTTATGATTGTTGTGAATATTTCTTATATTTAAAGTAGATAATACAATTCTCCAGGCACCGTTTCTATAGTATTTAATTTTTCAAACAAGCAGTATAAAAGTATTTCTTTTATACTCTCACGATAGTAACTCTGGGATGATTATAGATTTTACAATTATTTTTATTAAAGTTTAGTTAGCATACTACACGATACTTGTTTCAGGTATGCAACATAATGATTTGGCATTTATATACCTTACAATGTGATCTCCACCATAAGTCTTGTCCCGATCTATCACTGTCAATTTATTGAAGTATCATTGACTATATTCCCTGTGCTGTATGTTATGTCCTCATTGCTTGTTTTATAACTGAATATTTGTGTCAGTGCTTCTTATTCCCCCCCACTTGTATCATACCTGATTTACCCCTCTGCAATAACTAGTGTGTTCTCTGCATCTGTGGGTCTGTTTCTGCTTTGTTTCATTTGTTTGTTTAGTTTTTTTTAACATTCCACGTACAGGTGAAATCGTACAGTATTTTTGTCTTTCTCTGTCTGACTTATTTCGCTTAGCATAATACCCTAGAATACCCATTCAAATATTTCTGAGCACTTGTTTCTCACATATTTTAGTCAGCATTATCAAACTACAGTTAAAAAACAAAATCCCATTTTAGCATGGAACTTCTGCCTCTGGAGATGCTTTCTGCATTTCCTCGACCAAACATCCCATGGGGGAAGGCTAATTATAGGCTGCAGTATGCACCTGGGTGAAAATTAACTTTTAAGCAGCCTTTAGAATAAATGGTTTTTAATTATTATCATTATGTAAAAACTGTATAAATGCCTTTAATTGTACTTATAAACTAACATTTGCTGTACTTGTCACCAAGCGTAGGTTCGTGATATAACCTCTCCAATTATACGTCCAGCTGGGTAATTGCTCCACTAGCTGCTGAGCAGCCTGGCACAAAGAGATAGACAAGAGTCACACACAGTAACTATGCTGTTCACCCCGCTTTTATTGAATACAAGTTCACTCAATGTAGAATAAATATCAACATACATCAATATCCTCCCCGCACTCTAACAATCTAAGAAAAATACAATATACACACACGTAGCAATCAATGAGGGATAACAAACCAGAGTCCCAGAATCTCAACCTTCAGGTCTGGGAAACAGCACAGTGGGCAAGGGACTTGTCAGCATCTTGGTAGGAAGGATCTCTGGAGCAGGGTGGGCAGAAGGGCAGACAAAGTCCTCAGTCCAGCAGGGCAGAGTCTCTGGTGGCTGATGCCAAGGGAGGTCAGTGTGGAATGGAGCAGCACTCTGGTGTGTGGTCCTGGGCTGTGTTAGCAGCCGGCTGGAGCCTGCCTCAGTTATACCTTGAAAGTGGTGTACTCCACCTTTCTGGGTCTTCCAGATAAATGTCTTTACACTCCTGATGCCAAGAGGGGTGTTTGCCCAAGAGCATATGGGTGGTATATAGCTGTTCTTCTTGACACCCCTGTTGGCAAAAGTGGAATTTCTCCAGGAGCCTGTCTACGTGTGGTCCTACCCTACAGACATGGCTGTTCTGACCATGTGTGCAGATATCATTTTTTAATTGTTGCTCAAATACAATTGTTTTCATTTCCCCCCATTTCTCTCTTGTGCCCTCCCAACTCCCACCTTCCACATTCTATCCTCCCCCCACCCCCAATGGATTTTTCCCCAGGTCCTTTACACAGGCTCCTTGATTTAACCCTTTCCCTTCTTTCCCCTGTTATCTGCCCCTCACTTCTGATCACTGTCAGTTCGTTCTTCATGTCAATGTCTCTGGTTCTATTTTGCTTGCTTGCTTGTTTTGTTGATTAGGTTCCATTTATTGATGAGATCATATGATATTTGTCCTTCACTGCCTTGCTTATTTCATTTAGCGTAATACTCTCCAGTTCTGTGTGCAGATATGTTAAGCATGTTTCCTTGCCAGATGTGTCTGCTCTAACTTAAGTAGTTTGCCTTTTGAACCAAAGTGTCATGGCTGACTGACAGCCATGTTGGTTGACATGAGTGACTCCACTTTGACTTATATACTTTATGCCATCTTGATTGGGCCAATGTTATTTTGTTGGTCCTGCTCCCCACAATAATCACAATCTAGGAATGACTATAAAAATTTATTTTTTATTGTTAAAATAAAAATAGAAGAATCTCATTATTAATTCATAGGTCATTTTATTTTACTTTATGAGCACAATTGGTATTGAAATGCTATGTATTTCCATTATAACAGGTATTCAATAGTAGTTACTCAAAACAAAATTTAAAACATCTTGAAAGTATGTAATTACTGGGAGATTAAAGATCAATATACAAAACATTCAACTATAATAGTGAATTTTGTTATTTGATTAGAGAAGTAAGATTGAACATGCACATTTTAAAAATAAGAATATTTTATTTGCTTAAATATTATTCGATGGCACCACATTTTCATTGTCTCCTTAAAGATGTATCATTGCTTAAAATTACTGTGTGTGTCTGTAAATGAGTCAGAGAATAACTTTTGTTTTCACAGAACTTTTGCTGAAAGACAAAATGCTTTACAGGTTTATTTTTATTCAAACTTAGTCAAATAATTTTAAGAAAATACTTGCTAAGAAACCAAAACACCTTTGAAATAACAATTTGAAGTAGGAAGGATGAAAGGGGTGGGGAAGAGAGGCGGTATGCTGTGATAATATAGGGTTGCATGGCAGCTGATTCAACTTTATATTTTTCTTTTGTTTTTTTTCCCTTCTCTAGCTAGTTAATAAGACACATGTGAAGAAATGTGTGAGCGATAAAGATGTGGTGCTTTGCAAACACTGTTTGGGAATTTTTATTTGGGGATAAAAAAAGTATTATCCTAGACAGTTATTCAAAAAGCAGTTATTAGAGTAATAAGTAGATTAAATAAACTATAAGGCTTTGTTTTAATGTTATATGTAATCACATATCTAGTAGCAGTCATAAAATCCTGATGTGAATTTATTGAATTGCATATGCATAATTATGTTCACAAAATGTAAATAACTATGTTATTGATGAATTCCAAATGGAAGGTGCAAAACTATGGCTTGTCAGGGGTCATGATAATTACTCCACTAAGGAATTTAGAGGTAGAAGCCGAGGCTTGTGATTATAATTTTACACTCCTGCTTCAAATTACTTGCAGTGTTTGTTGGTAACAGTACATGTGCCCATCCATCCTTGCTGCATCAGAGACCTTCTAGAGCCGCAGAGATGTGAAGGCTTCCTAGTTTGGCATCAGTCAGGATCCAATTAAGAAAGCAGAAAATACTCTTTGTTTATTTGTTATTATTATTTTTTCACCAAGGCATATTTATTGAGGTAGTTAATTACATAGTTCTGTTAGATGTATATAGTTTAATGCATTAGAACTTTAGACTTTTGCATGCTCCGATGTTATTTTGCTTAATGGTTGTTAAGGAGACTGTTCTTGTCTTTCCCTGTAATATTTTAATACTATATATTTGGGAGTAATACTAATGTTGTTAAAGGGTTGTTTTTGTTATTTCTTGAATAATTAACTTTACATTTTAATAATAAAGACCCACAAAATGCATATATGCTTATCTTTACCAAGGATATCATGTCAAATGCCTATATAATAAAAGCTTTAATGAAGATATTTTGTTATGTATATATCTATATCTATAGTAAATATTTGAAAAAAGAAAAAGCTCTAGAAATGAACCAGTCTGAAGAATCCCAATATTAAAATGATGAAACTAAGAATTTATTTTAAATATTTAACTAGTACATTCTTGATTTTTGCAGTATCAACCATTTCCTTGTCAAAATACATGTGAATGTTCACATACACACAAAGGCTTGAGAAGATGTTACAATTTAAAACTGTAAACATGAAGCAGAATTTTTCACCCTATTTCTCAAAAGTCTTCAATGTGCTCTCTCTTCATCATCATATACAACTAATTTGAAATGTAAATATTTCAATATATATACTCACATATACATATGATGTATATATACATCATAAATATACATAAATATATAAATAAATATATATGGAAGTGATTTAGTAAATATCTAGAAATTATTGTTATAGTATTAGAATTATAGCATATGCTTGTCTATACTATGGATAAATAAGATACATGGCTATGTATCAGTGTTTGACTTTTAATATGGGTAAAAATTTTCACAAGAGTGACCTCCAAATACAAGACATTAAATTCTTCTCAATAACATTTTGAACAATGAGGGAAAAAATAAATTACTATCAAAGTAAAGTGTAAAATTCAAGTGATATAAGTTTCACAACTTTTAAACTATTCACTTTAGATTTCAGATATTTTAATTGTCTTAAGAAAATAGTATGATGAATTATTTAATGAAATAAACATATTTTTCAAAGATCATCTAAATAACATTTGGATGTTATTTTTCATTACTTATATCTAAAATTTCTGTTTTTCATGTGCCTCAAGTTAATTACTCTGAATTTAGTTAGATTACTACTATTTTATAGTTTTACTTAGCAAAATACTATTGTTTGTGAATTTCTGGAACATAATAGTCAACCATACTTGACCAAGTCCGAATAGTGAGATTACGTTTATTTTTTATATATGAGGTAAGTCATTTATTTTGCTTACAATATGAATGGGATCATTGCTGATTTCCTGTGCATACAAGAATTGAATTTCTTCAGATAAATCTTATGTTTTTTTTTGGCCCACAAAGACATCTGGATACTCATCATAAGTGTAAAAATTCCAACTAGAAGAAAAAATAAATAGTTATTTATTTTCTTTCTTCTGTGATGGGTATAGCAAGTTATATTAGAAAAATGACTATATATTACTCTTAAAATATTTCTCAAATGTTTCATAGTTTGCCATCTATTTATTTACTCATATTCAATGCCTACCTTATATATGTTTAATCAGTGTTTATTGCATGGTTTGATGAACACAGAGAGTATATAGCAGAGAACAAAATATATCTACATTTTTTTCATCCTGTTGACCGTAAGTACTTACAAATAAATAATCTTTATCTCTGAATTTTTCAATAACTGTTGTCACATGCAGTAATATACCTCTTCACACATGCACACAATTGCTTATGATCAACCACACTTACTGTGATTCCAAATTTTGTACAATGAAACAAAAATAGGTATAGTTGGTATAACTAATATCCCTTCTAATACATGCAGTTAATTGAAATCTAGCTCCCTTGCATGTGTTAAAATGCCAGCATCCAAGGTTATACAATCATGCTCTCAGTCATCTCTTCACAGACACTCACGGATCCTGGGGAGTTCACACACATCTATGCACACACACACAAGTGAGTTTCAGCTTTAATGTGTTATTATCACTGCCTCTGTATTAGGCCAGATTAGGCCAAATTTCCTGGCTCGGATTAGGCCGTGATACATAGAGATACATAGTACGTAATGTTCCATTATATTTTAAAACTACGCAGAAATCCAAAATAAAAATATAATGGAAGCACAAAATCCTTTTGCAAACATGACAAACTTTAGAGCTGTAGCAGTGTGTGCAGAAATCACTGCTAAATATGTACTGCCTTCCACTGTGCATAAACCCAGGTCTTACCTGGAAGCGTTTGTGTCATGACTGTGAAACTGATCCATGATCCAATCTGTTAGATTAAAACATAAGTTAACATGTCTGTGTAAGCTAGTAATTTGTTCATGTGTAACTTTAAGTAGGTAATTCACAGCTTAAAACACAGTAGAAAAATGATAGGTGGAAAGAAATTTTCCCTAAATTACTTAAGTGTTCAATATGATTAAATCATAAGCAACTTTACAAAATGGTTATAAGAAAATGGATATGTTCAAAAACTTTTTAAAAAATCCCAAAACATCTTAAAACATTTTATGTGAAGATTGTAAACTTTTATCTAAATATAGATAAATATGTTATAATTATTCTTTTTTAGAAAAAATTGCAGCTGAAACATTCCAATTTTCTATGTATATGATAAAATCAATATCTATTTATATCTCTGTCTATGCTATATCTATAGCTATAACATATATATCATATAATAAATGTAAATACATAAATGAATGCATATATTATACCAAATAAAGTTTAAATATTTACATGCATAATGGCATACCTCATAGGTATAGTTAGGACATGAAACCAGGAAAAACATCCATGTGAAAGGGTTACAGTTTGGACTTGGAAAACAAGCATTAGTTCCTTTTAGAAAAGAGCATAAAATGTCAGTGATGCTACATATTGCACATTTGAATATATATTTGTTATATGATTCTAAATTTCCTAGTACAGCCGTCTACCACATGAAATGCCATCATATATTTACAGAACTTTATTTCACAAATTACTCAGAAGAGAAACATTTTTAAATATTATGACCCTTTGACTCAAATAGAACAATTGTCACTTTCTGACCATATCTATAACTATGTTGCTGTAAAATTACAGGAAACATCATGATAATCAATTCTTTAACAATTTAAATAAAGTGATGTATAAAAGTTACTTTGAATATCTTAATAGTTGTAGTGGTATTGCAAACTGGGATTAATAAAAGCATTTTAATATTTGCATGCCTCTTCATATTCTCATTTAGTGTCAAAGAAGATAATTTTGGTTGAGATTATTAAATGCCTCAAACCCCCCTTTCTACTAAATTAGCAAAAATCCAATGGGACTTTTATAAGGAGGTCATTTATATGAAAAATTATATACAAATGTATCTCATAAGAGAATTACAGTGAATATCATTATATTTAATATTCAGAAACACCATACAAATTATTTCTGTTCAGCAATTAGAATTGTTATTCACAGCTTTCATTATGCTCAGCATATTTTCACTTGATTTTGTTAGTTATTATTCACCTTTTTTTTTTCAGGAAACATTTTAGATAACAAATTTATAATGATTTCCATTTGAACATTGAACTGTGACATTTGTAAAAGTAAATGTGAATTTTAACATTATAGTTTATTCTCTATAAAGATTTAATCAGATGAACACATAAACTAATCTCATTATAATTCTAAAGTCATAATGAAATGTCAGTATGTTTTCAAAATTATAACTATTGTTGAATATCAAAAATATAGGTTCTATGAAAATTTCATGTACTGCTTATATCAAGATAAGGATAGATATGTATGCCATTTAGTATTACAGATTTTCTTGGTAATATTTATATAAACAACTTTTTGTAGTGCCCATATAACCATCAATAAAATATAATAGAGACAAATATTTATGTTATAGCAATGAATTTCAGAGGTGGAAAATGCATACAAGCTAATTTGGTTGAAAGCCTCTACTTTATGACTGATCAGCTTCTGTAGGTAGGACATGGTTAGGAGTCCACAAATACAAACTTCTTTCTGATGTAGTTTATAGGTTAAAAAAAAGTGTTGTGATGCACAGATGCATATGTATACAGATATTGTCTTAAGTGTACATAGTTGCTGTTAATTGTAATTAGAGATAAGGTTAGGTATTGCTAATTCAATTCATTCTCATTATATGTTCTCTCAACATTTACTTACTACTTATAATGGAGCTTCTAGTGAATGAAAGTGTGAAGATTTTTTTTTACATTACAATGCCTCACTACCTAAAATTTTCCATCTTAAATGGCTTATTCCACCATTTTTTAAAAATTCTTATTTAGTTATTTTTCAAGTACAGTTTTCTGTCTATTTCTCCCATCCCAGCCCACCCGCCCTGTGCTCCCCACCTCCCTCCCATTTCCACCCCCCTTAGTTATTGTCCCTGTGTCCTTTATACTTGTTCCTCTAAATCCCTCCCCTTTTTTCCCCTTAAATCCCCCACCATTTCAAGGAGTGCTGCCAATGGTCCCCATTCAACTCTCAGTAGCTCCTATGAAAGTGATGTGGTTGAAGGGAACTGCCTCACTCAAGGTTTCATTCACTTTTTTATTTAGTCTTAATCCAATATTTGATCAATATGGAAATTTGATGTCTCGATTCAGTACAATATTGTTATTTCATCCCAACTTTATAATTTTCTATGGGTGACTGAGACTCTCATTGATCCTATATTTCTCTTAATTTCCTACCTGAACATGATTTATTTTTTTGCATACCAAAAAAATTACTCCTTAACAGACCTCCTCACTGCCAATCTCTATATCATTGTCCCAAGAAACTAAACCTATAGTAGTTGGCACCAGGAGTGGCCCAAAAAGGAGATGCTGGAATGATATTCTAGAGTTGAATGACTTAGAAGCTTGCAGCCAGTACCCACCCCATTACAGATGATTGGTTCAGTACAGATAACTGCTGGTTCAAGGCAGCTGTACAAATATAAAATCATTTACCAATGGTATCCTGTTGTGTTATACTGTTGGAAGGGAATGCTTTATTCAGCCCAATGGAATTAAGTGGGGGTTACTATCATTGTTCTTGACAAAATTGAAAATGATAATTGACAATTAAAAGCCAATTGTGAAAACTAGAGGATCTCCTTGGCACCATACAAAGAAGCCCTCATTTTCTGAAGTGAGGGAAAGGTTGAGAAAGTTGAAGACTGGGTATTTGCAAGAATAGTCAAGATTAAAGAATATACAACACCAATCTGAAGCAGGTCTGCTAAGCCAAGGTTACCTTCACAAAAAATGTAATAGACAGATTTTTGCTAACTCTTTAAAGCTAAGAAGTAGTCCACTCCTCTCTATTAAAACTTAGCACACTTCTTGCCTGAAGGTGATAGAAAAGCTACCATGTTAATCCCCTTAGGATTTTTCCATGCTTCCATTAAACCCATGCTATAGCTAGGACTATATCTCAATATAACCCACCTGAGATTGTTCTGGGCCTAATTAAAAAGAAAAAAAAAGGATTATCTCCCAATGGAGTTGCAGGACACAGCAAGCATGAACAAGCAAATTACAGGAGAAGGAGAATGTATATGTGATTGGATTTCGAGGGTCCTTAATAAGAAGACAAAATATAAAATTGGATGAGGCTAGGTTTATTTGTTAGAGTACCCCCATGGAACATAGGGACCTGCTAAGAAGGTACACACCAACATGCACCTGGAACCATAAAAAAAGCATAGTCTCCACTATGAGAGGAAGAAATATTATAATTCCTATGATAGGCAAAGAGAGAAGGTATTAAATGGCTGATAAATGTAAGGATATTAAGTATATAGTTTATATAAAGCTGAAATTAAAATGAGCCTTTTCATGGGAAGGACTTTTCCCCCTTATGCTCTATATTCTCATATTTTTCCCATTTCATGGAAGAACCTGAAATATATATCATTTTCCAAAACTATAAAACAAATGTTAATGTAAGGATACCACAATCACTGAGATTAGAGTTAGCTTACTGTGGTTCCACTCTGATAGAAAGTGATGTCATCTTAGAACTGGGAAAGCTGTAGTGCTTGGGTTAAAGAACATTTCCACCTCTTCCAAATAAAAGCCATTCTAGTTTTAGCACTTTATTGTCATAAACTAGAATGATCGGTAAGCTCAGAAGAAGCTTGGTCAACAGAAAGTTGTGGCTGGTTAAAAGAACACAAGGTACCTGGAGGATAGATTGATGAATTTGTGACAGTACTATGTCTGAATTTAGACAAAGAAAGTTAATTAGAGGTTATTAGTCAAGAAACTTGGGGCAGCTGGCTCAGTATAAAATAAAAATAACTATTACATTCCCAGTTTTTAGATTTGAACCAGTTGTGAGACATTAAAATCATTAATGGACAATCAGTGTGGGACCCCAGGAAGAAATACTCTACAACATGAAAAGGAGTATAGATGATGACTGTCACTATAATAACTTCAATAAATGTCTATGGTCATTTGTTTAGGAAGCCATACACTAGTGAAAGTGGGATACCACTACATTTCAAGGATTATTAGACACAGTGTGCCTTCTAGGTCCAAAGTGATCATTTCCTCAAATACAAAAGGAATATTTGGACTATACTCTTGAGAACCACTCTGCCTGGTTTCGGGAGCTATAACCCCCGCTACCCATGGCTAAGGCTGAGTGAGCGACCTTTGGACCATAATTCACCAAGGAGACAAAAATTATCTCCCTGGCAGGAGTGCTGCTTCTGCTTTTTTTACTTCATCCATAACCGGCCCCCAATGCTTGGTCAGTTAGCCAATGATGAGTAAGATTCCTCAAGGGAGGATCAACCCAAGACAGGCATGATCACATGGAGGCCCCAGGGAAGGACTTAGGGGGCTACAGCAAAAGGGGATGATGGACCCCCTGGCTTTGACATAGCCTGAGTCCTCGTTCCATCTGAGAGAAGTCTCTTAATCTCTTGGCTGCCTTACTTCCCTGCCTGACTTAAGCCTGAAACAATGACAGAGGGCAGTGCAGCCCTGTGCTGGAAAGGGCAGGCTCCCCAGGTGATCAGGCCTAAGAAAGAACGTATAAAATCCTGTGAAACCCGCTTTATTAAGAATGCTCTCAATTAAATAATAAGGGTCCAAGCAGGAAATGAGTTTGTTTCCCAAAGTTTTATAGCCCTTTGGCTAACAAACCCTGACTCAGAGTAAACCCTTGTAGTTCTTTGTATGCTACTGTTTGATGCTTACTGCCTGACAATGATTAATGAACTTTACCTGTATTCCGGTGCAAATTGAAACCCAATAAAAACCTGTCAAGGCAAAAATCAGTGCGCTCTTCCCTTGAGAGAGTGGCCTGCCATCCCTTTTCCTCCACAGGACTCGATAGTCCCTGTGAATTTGTCTCATGTCTCATCCATAACACCTCGGACACTGTGGGCCAGTGTCCATGTCACTATACATACTTTGTAGTTTGGACAACTTCTACATTGCTTAAACTTTGGGCTAAAGACTGTTGCAGTGAGAAAAGCCAAGTGGAAACCTCTGAAATTGCACCCATTCGTCTATAAACATAAAAAATATTGCACCCCAGGGCATATTAGTGCTACCATTAAGATATGAGGTATGCTTGAGCAATGCTTTCCTTTTTTATCACCATTTAATTAACTTTTATAGGCCCCAACAAAAGCAAAATGAATTTTAGAGCATGAGAGTGAAGTATTGTGAATTTGGTCAAACACTGTCCACCACTGCAGTTGATCACCAGACACAGCATCTTCGCTAGAACAGACTGACCCAAGTTTGGATAGGTGGATATAGCCCCAGAGTTGACAATTTTTTTCATTTTTATTAAAAGAGGGTCAAAGTAGTTTG